TCATTTCCAAAATTGGCCAACTGCTGGTGATGCAGGGTCTAATTTAGAGTATACATTATGTACAGCACGTATAAGGTTACCATCATCTCCAACACCGGGTCTGTATTGGTATCGGGGATTCAAATAATATGCTGTTCAAAGAAACACATACTCTAATAAGATAAATAATACTTATGCAACTAAAGAAATGAATTGCAAATTATGACATAATTTATACCTGCTGCATGCAAATCGTGGTATAATGTTTTATACCATCGGTCTTCAATTATTTTTACGACCCACCTTGCACCATGTTTTCTTTCCAATTCATCCTTCACTACACGCATCAACTCATATACAGCCCCCATAGTAGGATACACTTCTGTGTCAACGATCCGTAAAACTTTGTAAAGAGGTTCAAACACTTGACACACATGTTCTGTTTGACTCCAAAAAGCATGATCAAGCACTATACTTTCCACCATACGACCTGTATTTGAGCGGCTGAAATTGTGGTTGGCCCAATCGTCACTAGTGAATAGTTGCTTCAACCCTGCTTTCTTCTTGAGTAGGCTGTTTAATGCAATATAGTTGGTGGCGAATCGAGTGGTAGCTGGACGAATAATTTCTCCTCTGCAAAATTCACGCATCTTTGCCAACAACCAACCGTGATTGTAAATATAATTAGTGATCGTTCTAGCTCTTTTGACCACAGTAGCAACATTCTCTCTCTTCCCCATTGCCTCAAACATAAGATCAATACAATGTGCTGCACATGATGTCCAAAACACATTATGATGCTTCATTAACTTTTTTCCAGCTTTGACAAATGCAGAACCGTTGTCGGTCACGACTTGGACAACATTATGCTCTCCCACCTCCATGATTACATCCCTCAATAATTTGTAAATATACTTGTAATTCTTTATATGGTCTGAAGCATCAACAGACTTCAAAAAAATTGTCTTGCCCTTGGAATATACCATGAAGTTGATGATAGATAATCTGGTCGGGCCGGTCCATCCGTCACACATGATTTGTGCAACCATTAGTTTCCCACTTTGACCTCAACTTGTTAACATACTCGCCAATGTCTTTATACTCCATATCCAAATATTTGTTTCTTATCTCATAGGGAGTGGGAGGTTGTACTCCAACACCGGCCTGTTGACATCCCACTACCATATTTTTGAAATGATGTGATGAAGCCTTCGCAGCAGGGACATTTTCATAGATAAAGAACTTGCTAATTAGACGCTCCATTCCCTCCTTCACATTACCTCCCTTGAAATAACTCCAAACACTCTTTTGACGTGCGTTGGATGACTTATATAAACTTGGGGCTATTGGTGGTGTTGGTTGTGATTCTCTAAGACTGCCTCCCCGTCTCATTTGTGCACCACCACTTGTCCCCTATTAGGAATTTTATGAAGGTGTTCTCTTTCCCATGCTGACTGTTTGGAGGCACGTAATGCTTGTTTCAAACTGCATCGTTCTTCAGGTCCCATGTCATCATCACATTCGTCCTCATCGTCATCATCATCACTGTCAACCGCTTGGCCATAGACTTCTCCCCGTAGCCCAGCTTGAATATTTTCCATTCCTTGTGTCATCTTTTCCTTCTGCGGTTTTTTATTTTTTAATAATGTGCTGATGAATGCCTTCACTTCTGGGGGGACATTATCGCATCGTTGGACATTTTTTGCTGGATCTAATCCACTAAGATGGTACTTAAGTCGTGTCACTCCACCACTCTTCATTACCCGACCACAATATTTGCAAATTGTGCCATGTTTGTTTCCGTCTATTGGGTCGCCATGTTCCCAAGCTGGATCACGTTTACTAGCTCCACTAGACATCTTAAACGTACCTACATTTAATTTGATAAAACCTAATATTAATGAATAATAATCCAATTTGATAAAAAAATAATCACTGATGAATAATAATCCAATTTGATAATAATCCAATTTAATGAATAATCCAATTTGATAATAATCCAATTTAATGAATAATCCAATTTGATAATAATAAAAAAACCTAATATTAATGAATAATAATCCAAATTGATAAAAAAATAATCCTAATATAAAACATAGTGATGAATAATAATCCAATTTGATAATAATAAAAAACCTAATATTAATGAATAATAATCCAATTTGATAAAAAAAATAATCCTAATATAAAACATAGTGATGAATAATAATCTAATTTAATGAATAATCCAATTTGATAATAATCCAATTTAATGAATAATCCAATTTGAGAATAATAAAAAACCTAATATTAATGAATAATAATCCAAATTGATAAAAAAATAATCCTAATATAAAACATAGTGATGAATAATAATCCAATTTAATGAATAATCCAATTTGAGAATAACAATAATATAAATATAAGTTAGGAAGGGCTTAATAAAAAGTTGTACACATGATTTCTAATCTAACCTCCGACCAGGCTAACTAATATATTTCATATTAAATTCACAAACATGCAACTGAGATCCCCATGTTCTATTTTACTTTTTATTTTATTTTTTTGGTCTTAACTTAATATTAATGAATAATAAAAAACCTAATATTAATGAATAATAATCCAAATTGAAAAAAAATTAATCCTAATATAAAAACATAGTGATGAATAATAATCCAATTTGATAATAATCCAATTTAATAATAATCCAATTTAATGAATAGTCCAATTTGATAATAAGCCAATTTAATGAATAATCCAATTTAATGATTAATAATCCAATTTAACAATAATCCAATTTATTTGTTATTGTATAAATTACAATAATATAAATATAAGTTTGTAAACTTACCTTAAATATGGAACCCTTTGTGTGTTCAAGCTTTGGAATAGATCTGGAATGGCTTTGAAAAATGGTAAGGGAAATAAAATAATAAATAACATTAAACATATTAAAATAATCCTAGGGAATAATTATACAACATTACTTAATTACTTAAAAAAAAATTAACATGTAATTGTTAACATTACTTAATTACCTACAAAAATTAACATGCAAGTATTAATTAGTTAAAAAAATTAACATACGAGTCCATACAAATTTATTTGTTTGTTGTATACATTACAATAATATAAATATAAATTTGTAAACTTACCTTAAATATGGAACCCTTTGTGTTCAAGCTTTGGAATGGATCTGGAATGACTTTGAAAATGGTAAGGAAAGAAGAATAAACGAAATTGCTCTGAGGGAATGCCTCTGATACTCCAACTCTCATAAGGTTTTGCACATCCTCTGAGGGAATATAAGTATATAACAGAGAGTGGAACATGGTTTTGCCTGTGAAAGCATATCACAGACTCACAGTGATACACGGTTTCATTATTAAAGTTCTAATATTCGTTGTCCATTGTCTGCAATTGTAAAAAGTGATTGAAAAATTAGTGAGGTGAGTCAGATGGGGTCAATCAACCACAGAGGCACACACACAGACATGCTATTATTCGTTGTCCATTGTCTACAAATGTAAAAAGTGATTGAATAATTCATGAGGTGAGTCAGATGGGTCACTCAATCACAGAGGCACACACGCACACAGACGTGCCATCACACACGCACACAACACACGGACACATATCACACACGCATACCGCACTCTCTCTCTCTCTCATTCTCAATCCTTCTCTCATCTTCTCTGAGTCGCGCCGGACCTCTCTTCTCCCCCTTCTCCATTCGACCCACACACACCCACACACATATCTCCATCCTTCTCTCTTCTTCTCTGAGGCGCATGACCTGTCTTCTCCCCCTTCGCCTTTCGACCCACACACACACAGATCTCCCCCTTCTCGATCCTTCTCTCTTCTTCTCTGCCCTCGATCCTTCTCTCTTCTTCTCTGAGGCCTGACCTCTCTTCTCCCCCTTCTCCATTCGACCCACACACACACAGATCTCCCCCTTCTCCCACTCTCTCGATCCTTCGCTGCCGTTGATCGTGGGTTTGGCGAAGTGGAACATGGCTTAGTCGTCTCAGGTAAGATTCCATTGAAACCCTAACTTAGATGTGTTGAATCGTTGATGCATGCGTGAAATTTAAGGCTTATATGTGAAATTTAAGTTAAAATTCGTGTTTTTGCAAGGTTTTTGGGACGAAATGGGCTCGGGAACAGGCACACATCTCCGGCGTTCTTCTCCGGCGTCCGATATCGGAGTCCGATTGCCGCGTTTGCCGACATTTCTCGATATTTCCAAAATATCGCGATATTATCGATAATATCGATAATATCGCGATATTTGGCCGAAAACCCCACGGAAACCAGTTTAAATATCCATGTCCCGAAAAATCGATATTATCAGCGAAATATCGCCGATAATATCGATATTTAAATCTGTGATTCTAGGAGCCATGGTTTAAAGGTACTTATTTTGGAAAGGGGATCCTCTTCAGATTTCTACCTTCTAATCCACCAAATCAGGGAATTCGTGTCGTTAAAATTTGATCCAAAAGTTGAAGTTATTATAACTTTTAAAGTGGACCCCTGTTTGTAGTCGTTGGATCAAATTTTAATGACACGGATTCCCTGATTTGGTGGATTAGGAGGAAGGGATCAGGAGAGGATCCCTTTCCCTTATTTTGATGGGCAAAGTCGCATATTAGATGTGTATTTTTGAGTTTCAAGGTGTCCAAAATAAACACTTGTTTGATTCCATAAATACTGAAAACAATTCACATACACTACAACAAAAAATTGGGTAAGCCTTAGTAAGAGAGGTAAGATCTGAAGAAGATGAAATGGTTTGAGGCCCTTCACTTGTGCGCGGTGTTTTTTCGCATTTTATGGCTGGATTTTGGTTAAGAAATGAGGTTATTAAATTGTTGAGGTTTCAATTCCTATCATGTCAAAGTACTAAGATTTTGAAGTGGTTCTAAAACGTGGAACATTAAAAACAAAATATGGATTTTGTCCACCTAATAATAGTAAAATAATGATTTGTGGGTTTATTTAGAGAAAACTCAACTATATTTCATTAATCAGTTATCATTTCCCGAAAACGATTACAATTACGAACAGATAGAAATATATTAATATTGTATTACCACAATTGGAAACAAAACTACTTGGACGAAAAACAAAACTAAAAAACCACTTGCAAACAGTGGGCGGAGCAAGGGACATGGGCAACCTGTAGGCGGAGCTACATTACGACACAAGCTTCTGGGACTCAGTCGGAGGATGAGGTTTCACGTCTGTTGGCACCATTTCACCATTGAACACCTTTCTTTGCTTCTGGGACTCAGTTGGAGTTTTCACATCTGTTGCCCATCCAATTGCTTGTAAAACTTTGATTACATACCAAGTTAAGTCAATCTGCCACCATTCCAAACCCTGTCGTGCTGAGTAGTCGAATGCATGGTGATTGTTGTGCCACCCTTCTCCAAGTGTAACCATTGCCAACCACCTAAAACAGTTAAAATTAAATAAAAACATGTAATTAACATCCAAATTTATCAAAGAGTACTTATATATATGTGGTAGTACGAGAGGGAAGAAAATAAAGTGAAAGTTTATACCAATTGTTCCTGGACAAATCCCCGGTGTTGTATACTTGTTTCCCCCACATGTGGCCAGCAGAATTTACTAGCAAAGTTACGTGCAAAACAGTTACTATCCTCACTCCCTACAATCACAAAAGGGACATAAGTTTCATAATACAATGATCTTGCTGTTTATCTTTGCTAGGCTGAAATGTTTTATGGTCGGGCACTTGGACCACATCATTCATGAATAAGAAAAAGAAATTAAAGAAGAAGAAGAAATGGAAGAAGTATCTATGAAGCCCGAATTTTAGTTAAAATCTCAAGTTTAAACTCCATCCAAAAGTTGCAAGTGAGGTTTATATGGGTGCAAAAATGTCTATGAAATGAACTTTTTGACCGAGAAACTAATTTTTTGCAAGTGAGGTTTATATATTTGACCACATAGAAACTGTGCAAATTTTTCATTGATTTGAATTGGAATTTATGTATAAGGCCTTATGACAATAATGTAAACAAATTTCTTTTGGGGATAAAAAGCTAAACTTAGGAGGAAGCAATTAATAATCTCACCAGTCCCCAAACCAGGAAGGGAAGGCCGCCAAAGGCATATAATAAACTTCCAGGTAGAAGAACTGAATGTATAACATAAGTATGGTGAAGAAACCTATAGAAGGCCTGCCTTTTCAAATCTTGAACGTTCTTTAGTCCCCCGTACTGCAAAATTTCCAATGTTAATTTAATAGTTCGACGACATATGCTTGTAGGATATGTGTACATATAGTTGTGTATGTTGTTGCTACCTTTCCAAACCGAGAACCACTATCGATAATCCATCCAATGTGACTAAACCAAAAACCTTGAATGGGGCTATGAACATCTTTCGGTGTATCAGTAAACTGGTGGTGGTGACGGTGTGAGCTCACCCATTCTATTGGGCTACCCTGCATATACGTGCAACACACCGAACTCAATCATTTTCCCTAATAATATTGCAAGAAAACAAAAAAGCTACTATTTAAGCACAGAATGATGCTAAAATGTAACAAAACGTTGCTCACGACGCACACATATATATAATGTACCTGAAGTGATAGAACTGCAACGTAGGCAAATAAGTATTCGAGCCATTTCGGAAGCCTGAAACTCTTGTGTGAAAGATTTCTATGGAATGACAGAGTGACTCCTAAAGTGGTTAACATATGGAGTGCAAAGGCGACCCAAAATGCACCCCAAGTAAAATAACAGGGTGCAAATAAAGAAAGAAGGTGCATAGACGAAAGGGTACTCGCTATGACTAGGTCCTGTAAATTCCATTTTCTCCCCAAGAACTCTCCACAGGGCATCATCACAATCTTCACCCAACGCCCCATATGGTATATAATAGCAGACTCTCTCACTAGTCACTGCTGCTATTTCTATGACTGGTATCTGCACTAGCAAAACCAAGCTCGCTAGAAGCTGATATCTCACTACTACTCGATCCAGAGAACGTTGAATGAAAATGCTGATGGGTTTGGAAAATGTTGGTCCGCGAGCCATTAGATATATAGAGAAGCAATTTAACATCGCACTGCTTTGTCACGATTGGAATGGTAAATAATTGGCGTGGTTAGTAATTTATGTACCACTCATTATTAGGAAAAAAAAAAGTTAGGAAAGTTAAGGAAAAGTTCAAAAAAACTTTAGTTTTGATGAAAAATGACAAATAAATGTGTAATGAATAGTATCAGAGAAAGGTAAAAATGTGGTTTTTCGTTAAAAGTGAACAGTACTAGGAGTGTTTCGTTAAAACTCCCAAAATAAAAAGGTTTCTCTAAACTTTTCTTAACAAAAGAAATAACTTAATAACTTTATTTAATGCGAAATGCTGGAATCTCAAACTCAATGAAAATGACAAAAATTTAGGAAAAATTACACATTGAGTATGCTTCTAATCCTTAATTTCATATTGAGACAACACTTTTCTTCTATAAAGTGTAAGTTACAAAAATACCATTTATCTTTAGTGTATTTCACACTTCTCTCCCTCGCTCCCTTCTCTCTCTCTTTCTCTCCCCCTTCCCTTTCCCCATTTTGTTGGAAATGTGCCCTAAAGCCAATCGTATTATGATACTTTACGGACATTTCACATGTTAAACTAATATAGTTTAATATAAAGGGCAAATATTATTATTTAAAGCCGTCTTATATAAATGTTATATGCTTAAATGATAAGTCCAAGGAATATGTAATTGGGAGAATGTGATCTAAAAAAGTTAGATTCATGAGACCATTCTCTTTTGTATACATACCCTAAACGTTCCTGATCATAGGATTGCCAATTGGGCATTGTTGGAAGTATGCCCACAAAGCCACTCATTTACTCATTTGATGTAATAGCTTTTGAAATACTTATTGTATTAAACTTTTATATGTTTAATGAAGGGCAAAGCTTATTGTTAATCACTATTTATTGTATCTTGTGTTTAAGCAATAAGGGAATCCAAGGAATGTATTTGATCTAAGAGATAAGTGATTTAAGTAAGTTAGATTAACGAGACCTTTCTCTTATGTTCATTCCTAAAACGTTCCTAGCCATAGGATTGCCAATTGGGCATTGACAATCCGCTAAGGATAGTATGTGTATGTCGACTCAAGCGCGAGTATGACAAGTCTCAAGTCATTTAGTGTTGGACACTAAGGCAAACACATAGGTGCTCGAAAGAGTGATCGAGTACACTGAACAACGATCAAAAGAGAGTTCGAACATACATGTCATGTAAGAACTCGAGAGTTGCAATATGCAAAGTAGTCATTTGACCTGAGGTATCATAGATGTCTAATGGTTAGGTCCTTGATCTTTGATCATGTTAAAGGCATTCCATTGGAATGTCCACGGCATTGTTGGGGTCAAGCTATCTAGTCGTGTAGGCATATGAATGCACACCAAGGGATCTCTAACCTTCCATGGTGGAAGGAGAATACTCTAAGATATGATTCGAAAGTCTTTGGCCAAAGCATATGAATATGACTTAGGAAGTTTGTTCCAAATCATATTCAATTGAATCATATAGATAAGTATCACATTGGATAGTAGACATGAAACAAACTATCACTTAAACAATGTGATTAAGAGTATTGTATTAGAGAAGGACCGTATTGCATTGTAGTTGTAACTGGATAGGTTCTCCAACCACTTCTACTTAGCTTGGGTAACCATGATATGCTGCTAGGTGTCACTCATGGTTTGTGGAAGCCATAAAGATTAGCAAACACTAATTTTAAGGGAGAATTGAAATGTGGTTTCAATTCGCAATCGATCGTTAAGAGTAACAATCGTCCACTACCCTAATGGATCGTACACCGAATAAGGATGTTGGTGAAGAAATTAAATGAAATGGATAAGCAATTAAATGGTTTAATTGAAGAATGGTCAAGATTAATTAATTATACGAAATGTTCGTATTGGGCTTATATGTTGGTTTTGGGTTTCGGGGCCCAAAAGCGTTTTGGTCCACAAGGCCCATTATGTTTAAGTTGTATGACAACTAAAACAAAATGGGCAAATTAGCCCAATAACAAGGTAAGGCTGGCCATAGGGTGAGGGGTTGCAAATTTGGATTAATTACAAGTTTGCCACTCACATGTGATGAAGTATAAATTCAACTTTATAGCTTTATTTTCATTTAGGGTTTTTTTTGGTGAAATGAGGTGAAACACTTTCTCTCATTTTCTCTAAAGAGGTTGGCCACTTAGAGGAGTTTTAGCTAGCAATCTATTCTTCTCTAAGTCATCCATTTCATCTTCACAATCACATCCTTGGTGAAGAGACTTAGAGACATCAAGCTTTTGATGTTTTTGGAGAACTAATCCTCAAATCCTCAAATAAGCAAAGGAGCACTAAAAGGAGGAAAATCACAAGGAAGATCCAAGGAGCAAGGAGGTGACTTGAAGGCCCTCCACTTGGGTGAATCCCTTGTGTAAACAAGGATGAGCTTCAAGGTTAAAGAAACTCTAAATCTTACCTTCTCTTTAAATGTTGTTAAAGAGTTTATTGGTTCACCATATACTAGGCTTTGAGAGTCATGGGTTTTATGAATTGTTTTTTAATGCATGCCTACTTTAATGTGTTAATAGTTTGCATATGTATTCAAATGTTCTTACTTGTTCTTAGCTAGGACAAAAAATTTTCCTTCAGGCATTGACAGTTCGTTAAGATCAGTATGTGCTATGTCTTCTCTTAGGGAGAGTGACTGGTCTCAAGTCATTGGTGTGACTGACATCAAGACAAGCATGTAGGTGCTCAATGGAGAATGAGTCCACTGAACACAATCAACAAGGAGTTCTCATACTCATGTCACATGAGAACTCATGGTTGGGATAATGCAAAGTAATCTTTTAACCTGAGGCATCGTAGTTATCTTGTGGTTAGGTCCTTGATCTTTGACTATAGCAAAGTCACTTTGTCAAAGGGTGTCCACAGCATAGTTGGGGTCAAGCCACTCAGCCACAGAGGCAAGTGAATCTGCAATAAGGGATCTCTAGCCTTCAAACCGTTTGAGGGAGGATACTCTATAATATGATTAAGAATCTCTGGCTAGAGTCTAAATGAGATTTAGGAAGTCGTTCCAAATCACATTCAAGGAAATCATATAGGTAAGAGAATCACATTGGATAGTAGACATGAATAAACTATCAAACCAAACAATGTGGTCAAGATTATTGTATTAGAGAAAGACCATATTGCATTGTAATCCTAAACTGAATAGGTTCTCCACCTCTTCTGATTAGCTTGGATAGCCATGACATACTGCTATGTGTCACTTATGGTTTGTGGAAGCCCTAAAGGTGAGTAATCACTAAGGGGAGAATTGAAAGTAAGTTTCAATTCACAATTGATTTGAAGAGTTCTAATTGCCCACAACCTCGCTAAAAGGAATTTAATGGATCATACACCGAGTAAGGTAGAGATTGAAGAAACAACGGAGATGAGTAAGGATAATTAAATGGTTTAATTATTTATGGCTAGGATTAAATAATATGTTAAGTAATCAAACGAATATGTTCGTTATAGACCTCGGGTTAGTTTTGGGCCGCAAGGCCCAATAAGATTTGAATGCTAAGCCCATTAACTCAAGTTGTATGACAACTTGAAAACACAAAGGGCTTGAAAGCCCAATGAACCCTTAAGGCCGGCCACATTAGAGGATGAAGGGTTTTGGTTCTTTTGTCACTTAATTGAAGGGACTATATAAAGAACTTTATAACATTTCATCATTAGGGTTTCTTTTGGAGAAACGATGAGAACACAAAGCTCTCTTTTCTCTCTAAGAGGCTGGCCACCCTAAAGGAACATAGCTAGCAATCTTCCTTCCTCTAGGTCACTCATCTCTTCATCAATGCTCTCCTTGGTGTGGAGACTCAAAGGTTCTCTATTTTAGGAACTTGGAGAATCAATTCATCCATCCTCCACCAAGAAATCCATGGAGCTAAGAAGTAAGGAATGAAGGCTCTCTCTTTTGGGTGATTAGCCTTTGCTGCAAAGAAGAATCAACGAAGGCATAATTTTCTGAACTCACTTTGTTCTTGAGTTGAGTCTTGGTTCACCATAACTACTAGGCTTTGAATTTCATGAGTTAAGTTTTGTTTTTGAGTGCATATAAGCATGATTCCGCCTTTTAATTGTTAATAGCATGCATAGATGTTGCTCAAAAGTGGTTTGGCTGAAAAACGGCTTGAAAGTGGACCGCGATGATTTAGCCATCGAGAAAGGTACCATTCTCTTTGTCTCATTGATAAGTATGATTTTTGTTTTTTAATCACTCGATTTCGTTGAGTGTTGAAGGAGTTATGAACGTTTAAAATTAACCCAGTTTCTTGCGAGTTTTCCAGTTTTCCCTCGGACCGGTCACCTTTTAGGCTGTTCTCCGGCCATCTCCGATAACCATTTGCCTTCCAAATAGGTATAATCTTGTTCTACACGTTCCTATCTTCATTTTGATATATTATGGGTCGAATTTGGTTAAGAAACAATTTAGTTACGAAACTTTGAAAATTGCCCAAACTTCCGGCCAAGAACTTCGGGACACTTAACGGAGTTTTTAACGGAAGAACCAAAATAATGGATGGTGGACAACCTCAAAGACCATTTCTATTGATTTTCAATCTTAGGGACCAAAGTGATGTGTTATGCAAATCTCAGGGACCATTTTGGCTAAAAAGCCTTAATATTGTTAGAGTTGTGAGGGCTGGATTCTATTAACAGCCCTAAAACCTTAGGGGTCTGGCTAGTATTTGAAAATTACCTTTCCAAGTTTGTGGGTTGGGCATTAGTTATTTTTATACCTTTGTCTCTCCTTCACATGTTTAAGAACTAATGGAGTTCCTTGAAATATAGTGCAAGTTTTTGTCTTTATATGTAAAGCTCACAAAAGTTTAATATGATAGAATAAAAAAATAAAAAAAACTATAACTTTCTTTCTCTCCCATCCTTCCTCTCTGTTGCCCCTCTCTCTTCACGCCTCGCCAT